CTGCGGACTGTCTCATTTGAAACGAAGTCGGTGTACTTCACTCGCTTAAATTCGAGAGCGACTAATCAAACCTTTTATTCCTTTGTCCTGTTTGGACCTGTAACTTTGAACACAGTGGTCAGTGTTTTTTGTAGCAGGTGTGAAACGTAGGAAGATCCACACCGTTTACCGTTTCGTTCTTTTTTTACCAGCTATCGACACTAGTCCTAGATCTATTCTACCTACCTGACTTCCACTTAAATTATGCCGGTGACTGAACAAACAGCCTTTAAAATGCTCCTACCGCTCCCACTTTTATGCTGGGAGAACTGCTTATCGTGCGCGTGCGTCACAGCCACGATGCCCACTACTTCCCTGGGTGATTTGTGTGCGCCTCGGTTTATTGAGGGTGACTTTCGCATCACCAAGCACGCTCTGCCAACCCATCGTGACAAGACCCAAACTATAGGTAACTGGGGGCGTAAATGTGGACGCAGTGGCTGGCCTGGCATAAAGCTCTTGTGACTATGCCTATCGTATGCGCTAGTCTTTCTATTCACACTAGCCAGACCTTCAATACTTCTCATTTTTGGCGTGAACTATCACCTTGGTTACTGAATGCGCCAAGCGTGTTGGTAGGACTTATTTACTAGACCGGATCATTCTTAGCTGAGGTAATTATGTCAGCATATGTCAAGGTTTATTTTTTCGCAAAATCGTTCCATTTTTCATAATATGTTTGGCCTCATGAAATATCGATGCTTTTCGCGATCCCTTATCCGAATCTCTCTCTCTCTCCCAACCATTACTTTCAATCTTTAGGAAATATACTATTGGGTTCCGGCCAAGTTGCAGGCGAAATCAAGATAACGGACTTTGGTCTGAGCAAATTAATGACCGAGGACTTGTATAATCCCGACACAGGGATGGACCTAACATCACAAGGTGCCGGCACCTACTGGTACCTCCCGCCCGAATGCTTTGAAACCGGTCGTGAACCTCCCAAGATTTCCTCAAAAGTGGACATTTGGTCCGTTGGAATCATTTTCTTTCAGTGTCTTTTCGGAAAGAAGGTAAGTCCCTTTTTTTTTCCAAACATCTTATTCCTATTTTCACCCGTCGCAATATGTTTCTTCCGATTTTAACGTATGTAGGACTTGCCCCTGCCCGCTGGACACTTCCTGGTCTCAGACCCCTTCGCAGTGTCTGTAGCAGTGTGCCCCAGGGGTTTATTCCCCCCCCCTATA